TATGCTTCATTTATTCTTGTAGAACTTTGTGTTGCTATATAAATTACATTTGTTTTAGTTATTTATTTATTTATTTAATTGTTTCTTATCATATTCCGTATTATAAAGAGGAAATTACTCACGGTAGGACTAAAACATAAGGAGTAGCATTTTTTTTAAAGTATGATCATATGTTTGATTTTCTTTAAATAGGACTAAATATTACATATTCACCCCTAATTTAATTAATTAATATAATTAATTGTCCCTAGTTCTCTTGCATAATCAAAGCCATTTCGTTGGTGGCGAATCAGTCCGATTACGACGGCGGGGAACTTCTGTGACGGAGGCGGACAGGCAGATCGGTAGCGGCTATCTAGGTGAAAGTTCTGACGACCAGCAGTGGCGGTCCGCATTTAAAAGTCTAGACTTTTTGAAAGTCAATAAACTTATTCATGGATTTAAAAGTCAATAGAATTCATTCATAAAAAATCTATGGATTTAAAAGTCCATTGACTTTTTAAAAAGTCTATGGATTAAAAAAGTCCACCATAATCCATATTCAATACACCCCCCTAAATGATTAAGGGAGTGTTTGTGAATTGCGATTGCTTCTATTTTAAAAAAAAAATTGATTTTGGAGAAAGTATTTAATACTCCGTATTCCGTAGTAAAAGTTGGTAGTGTTTGAGAAAAATGTTGTTCTTAAAAAGTAAAAGTTAGTAGTGTTTGGTAAAATAAGTGTTTTTTTTGTAATAGAAAAAATAAAAAGCAGTTTAAACCATCCTTCCATTTGATTCCAGCTTTTAGTTTTTAGTACTTAATTTAAGTAAAAGTTGTCATTTGAAAACACCTTTTTTAGTTTTTTTTAGCCAAAAAGGCGATTTTTTGTTTGTTTTAGCAAACACTCCCTAACTTGGACCATAGATTTTATGCATTGGAAGATTTTTTTATACCTCAAAGTCCCGCTAGTTCATTTTGTAGAATTTAGATTAGAAATCCATTTAATTAATTTACATATGTCATACTTCGTATTTTACAAGCGTTAGAGAGAGCCGCAATGCGGTTGCTCTTATGCTATTTGGTCGTAAAGTTAAATATTAAGATGAGTTATTATGCGTGGTAAGAGTTGCACAGTGTTTTACCTTGTTTATAAAACGTTTTTCTGTTGGAAAAATTCCCGGGATATGACTAAAACAAAGTGAGTTTCTCGAAATGTGACTAGTTATGTTTTTTTCTCAAAATGTGACCAAAAATTGAAAAAAAAAAAAAATTTCGTTTTATTAAATTGTGGAAGGACAAAAATACCTTTTTTTTTTAAATATGCATTTTACACTAATTTCGTCCGGGTAAAAATATTGCACTTCATGAAGGCGTTATTGCACTACATTTATTGCACTTTATGGCGGTATTCACTGCACGACATAACATTACATAAAATGAATTTAGCGTTTTTTAGATTTCATAACTTTAGTTCTTACATTTGGTTAATATTACATATAATGCTACGAATTTATAGATATTTTTTCATGTCATTTTTAATGCACTTCTTTTCATGTCATTGCACTTTTTACATTATTGCACTTCTTGCCATATCATTGCACGTTTTGTCATAACTCATTGCGCTTCTTGTGATGTTCACGGCATTAAATATAAATTATTCATTGCACACTTATTTCATCGTCTTCAACCTAGGTTCGCCTTCAACCTCGGTTCGCCATCAACCTTGGCCGCCTTGACTGAAAAATTTGAGTAGTAGGAGCGGCAGAGGGGCGCGGCTGAGCGGCAGCGAGTTGGATCGAGTGCAATCTGACGGAGACCAACCTATCCGCTGCGACTAGCTACCTTCCATGACTCCAGATCTGGTGATTCCCATCCATGGCTCTAGATCGGCGACTTTGCTCTCAGACTGGACGTCGGTGGAGGCGGCGCGGCTGTATTGTGGGCGGAGGTTGTGCTGCGGCGAGCGACGATCGTTGAAGACGCCATGGCACCCAGGTCGGACAGACGTCTTCTCAGATTGGCGATTTTGCTCCCAAGCCGTTAGATTGGCACGAACAACTGACAACCTCTTCAGCGGCGGCGTGGCTGTACGGAAAGCGGCGGCGTTGCTGTACGTTGGGCGGCATCGTCACTGTACGGCGGCAGGGGTGGGCATCTGTACGCAGGGCATTGCTATAAAGTTTAGGGTTAGAAGGAATAGGATATTAGACTTTTATAGTCATAGTTTAAGGGCATATTAGTCATAAAAAATAATTTATTTAATTATTTATTAATATATTAATTAATTAATACGAATTTTAATTATATTTTGAGAAAAAAACTCATTAGGTCATAGATTGGGAATGTGGTGGAGTTTTAGTAATACCTAGGATAATTAAATCTTTTCTGTTTAGCTTTTAAGAATCCCATGAACAATCAAATAACGAATGATTTAGAGCTTTGATAGTGTCACTCTTACCACCTTTACATCGTGTGGGCCGTAATAAGAGACTTTTATTGGGTCAAAACTTGATATATAAGTTTTGCACATTAATCTTTGTGAATGTTTCAAACATCCCATATTACATTTAACAATACACATAACCCCTCGAAAAAAAAATATTACGGAGTATAAAATAAAAGAAAGATTATTAATGCAACTTTGTCAAATTTACTTTTATGCTCAGTACTTAAACTACTAGTAATATATATGTGAATTTTCAAATTGTTAAATTTGTTATCCAAGAGATTACACACTTATAGTGGTGATTAATGATAACTCAAAGGGTTTTATACATTTTTTTTTGCATCACAAGGGAGTATCGCAAAATTTATATATCATGAGAAGGTTTGACATATTAAACTTTAACAAGAGATGATTGTGATTACAATGTATTCATATTAATCGTCCTGTTCGAATAGTTGTGATAGTACATACAAATAATGCACCTATATCAATACCCACACACAGAGATATATGAGCATATCATGTGCAGATGCATGTGGGCTTATAGTTTTCACTTAATTTCATGTTTTGTACAATCTTATTGTAAAAGAGATAGCTTTATCTTGCTTGTTCGAAAAATATGAGAAGTTTTTTGTAGCTCAAATCCTTATTTCATTTTTTGGGAACTGTTACTCTGTTAGTGTTGTTTTGTTGGTAATGATCCAACTAGCGTATTTGTGTTACCTTGTAGGGTTATATAATATTTGTAGGAGTCGAATTATATATTTCAAAGTTCAAACCCATGAACCATGAGCAGTTTCTTCAATAGCATTATTGACTTATTGTTAACCAAATTGTATAAATTATCACTACTTATTGTTCAGCAGTTTCTTCAATAGCTATTTCATTGAACATGATACTTTTATGACATGGTATATTTGATTGAAATGTGATTGGGACCATGTCATTTTTTTTTTGCTCAAATACAGTTTCATTAACGATTAATGGTAAACAAACACAATGCCTTGTTTTTGTATGATCACACGTAGATTTAATTTTACTTATTCACAGATCGAGATATATCTATTCCGCGTGTTCTTTTGGAATATTCTTCTAAACCTATTATAGTATCTGCTCATTTTAATGCCAACATCCTTGATTGGGATGAGACTCGCACCTCCTCAAAAAATATTTATTATTAATATTTGGTATATGAAAATGAATTGAAAGAGTACTGCTCCCACTATGCATAATTGGCAAATGCTCATGAACTGCGGCTTCTAAGTTATACTCCCTATTAATCCGTATGGGTAATGACCCATTCATATACTTCAGTCACTCCGTATTTCTTAGTTTACTTTATGATCTTCTGTGATTAATTAACTTTGTAATTGTAAATTTTTAATAAGAAATGTTTGTTTATAAGAAATGTTATTTTGTATAACTAATTCTTAATATGTTTTGCATTCTTTTTATGTGTTTAGTTAAGATCTTATTTTTTGCATTATTTTACTTAATCATCTTTTCTCATGTTTGTTTGATTATTTAAATTTGTCATTAATCATGTATAATTGATTTGCTTATTTTAGCTTTTTATGTTGACATACATATTTATTTGTGAATTTTCTACTCCGTAATATATATGAATATGTTGGTATTAAGCCCGTTTTTGGTGATCATATATATATATATATATTGACTTATCAGTCTTACCAGTCAAGTTTTTCACCAAAATGTAACTTTTAATTTCATGTGTTGAGCTTCTTGAGAAACAATAAAATTTAATTTTTTTGGACAATTCTTTGTAACCTATACAGTATCTGCCAACATCCTTGAACTGGGATGAGATTCGAACTTGTGACCTCCTCATTGGGAGTGCCACAGTGATGTCATCAGACCACAAGGTACTTGACATAAAATTTAAAATTAAGTGATGCTAATTTGTAAAAATATCTCTTACTTATATTTCTAGAAGTATTTTTTAGAAAAACTTAATAAAGAGATAGAAAATTAATTAATCAAGTCTATTTCATTGTAAAGGGAAGCCATTAGGATGACTAAAAACAATAAGAATTACACCAACAAGAGAACAAAAACAAATCACAAGGATAAAAACGAGTGTGTTTAATTGGAAGGAATAAAAATATGAAAAAAGTCCATTAATATTACTTTTTATATGTGATAGAACCATAGAAGTATTACTGAGTAGCAATTAGTGATTATAATTGTATTCGAATTCACATTATAGTAATTAAATGTAAGTTACTACGACGTAAATTTTAAACATAATGTAATTCACTCATAATTGTTGAGTAGAGAGTAGTATTTTTGTCATGATTTTTTATTACTTATATTTAAAAATCCCTAACAGTATACTCTTCCTCTCAATTAAAATCCCCTACAAATCAGGATTCACGAATGGGGAAATCCAAACAAGAATGTTTTTATTTGAACTGTAATTCGTACCGGATCAAGTCAAATCAGACCAGATCAGATACAAATACAAAATGACTAGACATTATCAAGTCAGATCAAACCAAACTTGACCAGATCAGACCATCAAATTAAAAACATCCTAATAAGCAAAAAGTCGGTCAAAACGCATTTTTTTAAGAACCCGCGACGTTGTCGTCCATTAGATTAGCCCTCCAAATTCTGATAGTCGTCGGATCGGATTATCATTCCAATCACAGCATCAAATATCAAGGACTATAAAATTGAAATTCAAAAGTAGAGAGGGAGAGAAGTAGGACAAGAATTCCAGCTTCTTCTTCCTCCTCTTCAAGAAGGGATTACGTTTATACTCTGGGTTTTATTCCTGTGAATCTTTGCTTGGCAATGAGCGAGCTTTTGAAACCAGATTTGTATATTCCATTCATTCACACACCATTTGGAATTTGAAATTGTTAGGTTCTAAACTTCTGTTGATTCCATCTTTCAAGTGTGGAGGATTCAGGGAACTCTGTTATTTGAATTTTTGATTTAAAAAGTTCGTTCATTTAATTTCTCCGCGGCTTTGAATGGAGAAAAGTGAGAATGGGGATTTCCCTCCAAAAAAGGCTCAATTGGAGGCGCCTTTGACGGCGGCTGCAGCAACGATACCTGCGGAAGCTGATTTACCGACGAAGAAGCTCGCGAGGCAGCTGGATTTCGCGCCGTCTGGCGGCGGCGACGGAGGGGTATGTACGACTGTATCGGTACCCATTTTTCCGGAGCATTCTCAGCCGATAGTTCCGCATACCCTGCCGCACCTGACTGTGAAGCCTCCACAATCACAATTCCCGCCACATTTACAGTCACTGCAACAATTTTTTTCGGTGCCTATGCAGCAGCCTTCATCGCCATATGCTAATCCTTCACTACGGCCTCTGTAAGTCTCTATAATTCAATGGCGCGATCTCCTATTTTGTTGAACAAATTTGGGTGGGGAAAAAACGAGTCTTGGAGTCGTTCTTGTATCAAATTTTGTCTTAGAGATACTCCAGCGTTGGATAAAGTTCAGGGTTTATTAAGTAATGTCTTCATTTTTGTCACAAAAATGACTAACTATCACTTGGTGAGTTTTGCTAGTCAAATCCAGGTAGTCCTTTCTTTGACTGAAGGGTTAATCTATTTACATCCTCACACACACATTTTCACTTGAAAGATGGATAAATGGCAACCATAGGGATCTGCCAACCAGAAAAGGAAACCAAAATTTTGGTTTCCACAATCTTGTTTTTACTTTTCAGAATAGCAGAAACGGAACAACAAAAAGGTCCTAAGAGTAGTGACTATATATATGGTTCAAACAAATTAGTAAAGCTTTTGAAAATAGCAGGTATTCGCTTTAGGTTACGGAGGGAATGGGTTGTCATTTGACCACCAAAACATATTTGAAGTTGTAAGCTTTTAATAGAGGTATTTGGCAGTTTTGCACTGCAAGTTGCTAGAGGAGTCCAGTCAATTTCTTATCAGATGTACTAAGAGATATATCCAGTGGTCGAATATGGCAAACAAGTTTATAAGTTTTTTCCTTGTTACATTGTGTGCATTTGACTTTACCCTATATATACTTATATTACCTTCCGTACTTATTTGGACTTTATTGTTAGAAGTTTGGAGTTCCCAATTTTTTTTTTCTTTTTTTTTCTCATATTTTTTTTACTCCAGGGGGGTCTGGGGGAGGGGGTTGGAGGGAGCCTGGAGTAATCAGGGCTGAAACTCACTCCATTGAGTTTCCAACCCTTGTGTGCCTAGCGGGATTCAAACTTGAGACCTCCCACTAGGCACGGTAACCTCACAACCAGTTGGGCTGGAATGCTTGGTTTTGGAGTTCCCAATCTTAATTATAATGTCCCACTATCACCAAACTGCATCAAATATTGACATATCACAAATAACCTCACCAGAGGAAATAACCATCCATCAGCAGTAATTAACATTATACTCCGTAAAAGATTATCTCCTCCGTAGGAGGCTACTTCCACAGTAGGTTAGGCGGTGTATGTCTCCCCCCCCCCTAATACTTCTTTTCTACATCTATTATATCTCCATCAATACTTTAGCATGTAAAGGAGAACTTAGGCACTCATGATATAAGAAACGGAGAGAAATGCAAGCTATATACGCCATTGTATTGAAGTTTCTAATATAAAAGGACAAAATTAATATTTTTAATAATCTAATTGTCAAATTAGTTGGAAAAAATGTAGAGGTTGATATGCTGCAAGTGACAATTCTACATTTGTTTGAGTTAGTAAGCATTCTTTTGTAGCTTAGCTTCTGTGATTCACGATATCTAGACTAAGTAACTATTTAACTAACCATATCTGTCCATTATGATACCATTTTTTATATCTTTCAGGAAACCAGAATCCCCAAGAGTTAGGCATAGGCAAAGTGCTGGCGAAACAAAGGATGGAACTCCAAAGAGGAAAAAGCAATGCAACTGCAAACACTCTCGGTGTTTGAAATTGTAAGCTTATTTTCAATCCGTGCTTAACAAACGTGACTTTAGAGGTTTTGATGCATAAAGATGACAAATAAAGCTAATTACAGCTAGGGTATAGAAAGTATAACTGCATAAGGCATATTCTCTTCGCCTGTTTGAGGTGTTAATTTAGTAATTTACATGATATTTGCTCATAAGACAAACATCCTAGGAGGGAGAATGACTTGCACAAAACGTGGACAAACTCACCAACCTGTAGTTTAAATGATTGTTTCTTCAACCTTCATTTTTTACTAAATTAACTATCACTATAATTATTGCAGCCATCAGTATCACCAATATGAACCTATAAAAAACAAATAATTGCTAGATAGGGAACGATATACTCTTTCTGGTAAAATTTGTGTATTTGAAGATATATTCTCACTCCCCTCCTCCCCTGCCGCTGTTTTGTTTTACGTCATGCATTTTTGGGTTGTGACCCCAGGAAATCTCAATTGTTAAATATATACTTCGTATTATATCGATATAAAATGAAATATGTTGCATGAATTACTAATTGATCATTTTAAAACTCAAAAAAGGAGTTTAATATCTATTTTATACATTAAAGGGAAATTTCCCAAAACAGGAGTATAAACAAGGTGTTTTCCCTAAATAGGAGTGCTATGTTTTTTCTAAGTTAAATGTAAATTCATATTGCCATATTATGACCATAGTTGTCATGGTGTATGTCGCATTGTCGCAAAGGCATTTTTTCGTAGTGATGGCGAAGACGCATCTGTGGTGTTGCCACGTGACACCAAAAGTAACTCCTAAAAATATGAACTATAGATAATACTCCGTATAAATCTTTAATTCAACCAAAAGATGAGCAAGAGTTGAATAACCACATTCTTACCAAAATATGTCAAGTTAAAATAGCTTAAAGTAGTTCCCAGAATAACTTAATATCTAAAATAAATTTCAAGTCATCCAAAATATGTCATCATTATCAATTATCACACTCCTTTAGTGGAAGTGCAGTTCCCCTTTATTTGTTACCCTTTAGTGGTTTAGTGTGGACTCATGTTTAATGTATGGGCCCTTTCTTAAATTAAATTAAATACATTGGGCCTTTTTTAAGTTACAACCACATTAAAAAGGTATAAACAAAGGAAGATCACTTCAAAAAAGTGTCTCAAGGCGTACGATTTGATTTTTTTAAATGCCTAAGCCTCTTGTGCTGCCAAAAAACCTAAGTTTGATACCTTCTATGTACGCCTCACCTTGAGGTGCGCCTCAAAACCTGCCATGTAAGCGCCTTTCTAAACTATGTTGCCACCACATGTATTCTGGCTGCCACGAAACATTTATGTGGTGAAGGCTCTTCAAGTTGCCAATGGCGCTTTATAATGTGCGCGCACCATTGACAACTATGATAATGACATTATCAGAATCATTTCAGGATAGCAGTACTTATTCATATTTAGGAAAAACGTAGTAGTTCTATTTAGGTAAGCCACCATGTTTTTACTTTTTACTCCTATTTTCTTATTTAGGGCAATTTCTTTACATTAAGCTACAAAATTTTAGCAAAAAATAGTGATGTAATAATTGTGATTGACATGTAAAGAGATGAACTAAAAATCATAAAGAAAAAGTTTACAAAGATAATCCAACTAATGAAAATGAAGAAAAGGGAAGATGAAAAGAAGAAAAGTAAGAAAGAAAATTAAAACACGGTGAGTTGGATTGCCTGGTCAAAATAGATATGGGAAAAAACTAGAATTGGTGCCTATGAATGCCTAGTTGACGTCTAAGCAATGTCATTCCATGTTTGGCGCTCTTCAAGCGAGGTGGCCATCCATGTCAAGTGCTCTCCACCATCTGGACACCTAAGCGTCGCCTAGTCGACACTTAGTATATGTCATGGCAAGTATGGTGATTACAGATTATTGAACAAATTTGCGTTGCTGTTTGAAGTAATTGGTATTGCAAGTTATATGCAACATATTTAAGTTGTACATATTTTGTTGCCAAAGAGGGCAGTGGGCTTTGGTTTAACAATACCATACTTTGGTTCTGTTTAAACTTTTGAAGTATCAGCTGTGGCATATTGGAAAATCACCATGGAAAGATATGCAGTGTGCTTTATATGTGTTATATGCATATTCTGCACACTAAGAAGTAAGACCTAAGGTAACTTCACCACATTGGAGCCTTATGTCTAATCTTGTTGATAAAGTACACAATTATGTGTGCTATTCTAAGAACATGAACACTATGTTCCATTGTACCAACCTTTTGTCCTCATTTTGATACCAGTTGATCCATGAAATCTGTGTTAAAAAAAATTCAAAGAAAAGTTTTTTTTATATCTTATATGAAATATATCTCTATGCTCTGATTCGGATATTTTATGTCTAGATACTGTGAATGCTTCGCGTCTGGCATATATTGTGATGGGTGTAACTGCGAAAATTGTCACAACAATGTTGAAAATGAAGCTGCCAGACGAGAAGCTGTTGAAGCTACTTTGGATCGCAATTTAAAAGCATTCAGACCTAAAATTGCTAGCAGCCCTAATGGAATTCGGGACATTAAGGTAAGTACAGCCCAAAGAAATGAATTGGTAATTAATTTGTAAATTTCAACCTTTTTGTGGAATATAAGTTTTTCTTTCTGATTATACTTTGTGGTGTATATATTTTAGGAGGAAGCTGGGGATTGTTTGGTCTTGGCAAAGCATAATAAAGGATGTCGTTGCAAGAAATCAGGGTGCCTTAAAAAGTATTGTGAATGCTTCCAAGCCAACATTCTTTGTTCAGAAAATTGCAAATGCATGCACTGCAAAAATGTTGAAGGGAGTGAAGAGAGGCAGGCACTCTTCCGTGGAGAGAATCCCAACAGCTTGGCATATCTTCAGCGGGCAAATGTTGTTATAAATGGTGCCATTGGAACATCTGGTTTTGGATCTCCTCCCGTAGCAAAGAAAAGAGAAGTCCATGAGTTCTTTACTGGCTCAACAATGAAAGTTCCTATTGATGCATTTGGGCAGTTCCCGCAGGTGGGTAATGGCATTTTCAGTTTCCGGTTGGATGAAATATCAAATTCAGATCCGAAGTTGTATAATACAGGTTGAGATACTCATTTTGCCTGTTTACTGGGAAATAATTGGTTTTCTTTTTTTCATTTTTCAGAGCAACCAAAGTAAAGGTCCTGTTCAGCCTGCTCCAATGCCTTCAATTCCCAGTGCCCAAGTTGGTAGTAATGCAGCCCCACTAGGCCCATCAAAATTTATGTACAGGTACAGAAAATATTGCACCAAAAAACCCTTTGGACCTTGAATGTTCCCAGTAGACTAATTATGTTTTTCGATTCCACTTTTGGAATTTTGAAAGTACTTTTGGATTTCGAACAGTGCCTTTGATTTTCTAAAGTGCTTACTGAAATTTTGTAAAGGTCAGTTTGGCACAATTATCTGAAAGTAACTTTTACTTTTGATGGACCACTTTGAGTTAATTTCCATACTTGAAACTATCAAACAGGCAAAAAGAATATGCCTTATTTTTCTAATAATGTACTACCTCCGTCCCATTTTATGCGTCTTGTTTTGGTTTGGCACAATTATTAATAAAGTAGTTGAAAAAAGAAAAGTTGTGGTTGAGATTTGAGTATATTAAAGTGAAATGATGTGGACCACATATGTCTTTAAGGAAAGTAAGACTGGTAAAATGGGATGGAGGAGTACTATATACACTCTATTTACATAACTTTTTCGAAACTAACAAAAAAATTCTTTGGATAAACAGACTTTTTGCCAACTGACTTTGAGAAAGTTTGGTAACTACTTTCTCATCCACACGAAAATGAACAAACAGCTTTTGAACGGTCAAATGCACATTTGGAAATCCAAAAGTGCTCTATAGCTCGTTTGGAATTTGGAATTAGAAAAGTGCCAGGGATTGTAAATAAGAAGGAATATAGATGAGAAGTTTGAAAAGAAATGTGGGGTGGGGATAATATTATTGGGTCAAAACTCAATGAATCAATTTTAGATGTTGTCAGGGCTTATGTTTTATATAATTCTGCTGTATAAAGACTAAGAAAACTAAAAATATGCAAAATCTTTTACCTTGGGAAATGCAATGGAAAACCAATTTTCTGTTGCACGTATTTTATTTCCTACCATTTTCCTAGTTCGAAACATAATCTTAGTGATTACAAAAGCGTAATCCAAACACATACTAACTATTTCAATGACTCCACACTACTGAAGGTCCCTATTGGCAGACATCATCCAACCACAGGATGTGAAGGAAGTTTGTTCATTCTTGGTCTCCTGTTCAAGAGAAGCTGCTAAAATGCTTGAAGGTAGACACATACATTTGTTTTGCATGTAAACTAATTAAACTAGATTGCATCGTCCTTGATATTCCTCTATTTTATTTTTCATCTTCTTATATCCACTTCTCCTTGGTTCAGTCATCATTTTTTTTGTGTATTTATTAAATGAAATGACAGTTTCCATCATTTGCAATGGAGCCTAAAACTCACTATTTTTTGGCTTGGGAATGTGATGAAATAAAGCAAAATGGTTCACTAAAATGTATGTGTTTCTTTGTTAATGCAATTTTGGACGCGATTTTTACTATGGGTTATCCGGAAACAGTCTCTTTGTTCTTTATACAAGGGTAAGACGTTTACATCCGACCCCCTTACCCCACCGTAGGTGGGAGCCTTTGCAGCACTGGTGTACTGATGATGATGATGATGATTAAATGAAAATGACAAATGAACCGATATTCTACATAATTGAGCTGACACTTGCCAGTTCCCACTGCACAAACATAAACACTGGTAAAAAATGAATTTTGCTTTTTTTCAGGAGAAAAAGTAAGAGGCAAACCGACTTGTGAAATTTGTCATCTCTGGCGGTGATTTTTCATCGCATATATTGTTCTTCTAATTTATTTGCCTGCAGATGAAAAGGATGCAAGAGGGAAGCAAGCAGAAGAGCTTAGAGAAACAATGGTTGCCTCACCTCAGGACACATTAGATAATGTAAGAGTTTCTGTGGGAAGGGCTTTACCTGATCAATGTTCCACAGAGAGCCATGTTGAAAAGAAAACTGCAGATGATCCCAATGTCTTTGTAGCAAGGCCATTGTCTCCAGGAACATTGGCACTGATGTGTGATGAACAGGAAACGGTGTCTTCCCAGTTGCGTCGTGGGCAAAGCATGACGGAAGCCTATGAAAAGCAGGAAGCCATTGTTTTGACAAAATTTCGTGATTGCCTTAACAGGCTTATTGCATTGGGAGAAATAAAAGGCAAGTTTCTTCTTCTTAATGATTTAGAGAAAAAAACACTCCTCTCATGACTATCAAGTCATTTTATTTTTCTCACTTGGTCATATTCCTTAATCAATTTCTTTCACTTCTTTTTCACATAAGAATTTCACATTCTTTTATGTAGAATCAAGGTGTTCTTCAATGGCACGAGGTTCAGAATCAGATTGCCGAAATGGCGATGCTGCGGAAGCAAGAAACCAAAAGGAAACCTACTGCAACGGTAAGTTTGATGACCCCTCCCCGTCTCAAGTGGTCATTTCTGCAACACAAGACCAAAAGGTCCATCCCCAGGAGAAAACGGTTGAGAGATGCATAGTTGAAACTTAAATTGTGGAGACAAATTTCAACAAGGGGAAATTGTATTTGGGTCCTTCAGTTATAGGAATCTAGTGGATTTAGTGTCTCAATTATTTGTGTCACCACTTTTAATCTTTGGGTTATTTATTACGAAAGTGGTGTCTTTAGGCCCTCATTAGAAAAAGAAACTTGAATTCATTATAGCTATTGTTTAAGCATCTAATTTTTTAATGTACTAAAATAACATTGTAAAAATATAATTTTCTAACTACAAATTTAATAAGATTGACTTTCAAAATTAGTTTTTTTCTCTTTATCATCAAAACTATACCTCGTATATCTATATACTTCAATACGTATGTCAGTTATACCTCGTATCAAATATGTATGGGAAAAATTCCGGAAACAGGAGTTAAAATGTTAGACTATTCAAAAAAAATAAGATTGTCCTGTTTTTATTTCCTAAATAAAAGTAATTATTGTCAAATTTGAAAAATACTGTCATGTTTAAATATGATAGTAATTACTCCTACTTTAAAGAATAAAAACATGATAGTTTTATATTGGAATATACAAAGGTTTTTTAGTCCTATTTAGAAAAATTTCTCAATATGTATTTATGAACCTTTCAATCTAAACTTTTCGATCTACACTTGTTCCAAAAAGATATTCTAAATTTTTTAGGGTGTACCATTGAACAAAACAAAATTATCAAATGAAAGGAATTAATGTATGCTTTAACTTTACATTATTTATTTAACAAAAATGCTAAAGGTACCCCATTTTGGGTATCCCATTCTTACATCCCCTATTGTGTGGCCACAATTGGAGCAATACTTTTAAGTGGGGCAACACTTTTAAGTGTGACCTCATTTGGACCACACAATGTGTGGTGTAAGAATGGGGTACCCCAAAATGGAGTACCTCTAGCATCGTTGTTTAACTGTTCCAAATAAAGACGTGTTTTCACAAATGTATACCGAAACTTCCAAACAAAGAGTATAAAATTTCAAAGTTGATGATTAGTTTTTTTTTTACAATATCCGAAACTCCGAAAGACTATAAAAGTAAAAAAAAATCGAGTATCTCAATAATCAAATTAAAGTGACAAAAACTCTTTATGTTATTGAAGTGCTAGAGTGACATATCATATTGTACATCCGATGTCACTTATCTTTTTAAGACGTTCCAAAAAAAATTCATTTCTCTTTTTGAAAAGTTTTGTACGAGTCACATCATTCACATTTTCTTACTCAACCCTAACTACACATTTTTACTTTATTTCACTTTCTTAAACCCTGATCCAAGTCAAATCAGAAAAAAAATTATGAGACGATCAGAAAAAAATTTATGAGACGATCACGGATGGAGTATGTTTTTTGGTGAAACACTAAATTATCTAACTAGTAAAATTGATAACACTAAATGGTCCATTTTGTACACGTTTTTTTTTTACTTTTTTTGCATTCCCTATTTGACCTGTGCATACCAACAATTTGTCTAAAAAGTGCCGAAATTGCCATATGCACAAACAAATGTACAAAACATGTACAACAACTCTCTTAACAAGTTTGGCAACTTCTACCAATTCCACCCACAATAGCTACTTAAGAGATTTGAGATTTCAACCAGCCAACCAGGTGTATGGTCTTAAAAAACATTGTTTGTATACTAGTATCGGACGCCTCAAAATACGAGTAGATTCGATGACTACTTTACATTCCTATGACGATTCATGACTCTCCGTTAACGCTTTCTGGATGCTGGTATAGGCGCATTGGGGGCGCCATAAGGTTTAAGCGACCCTTACATGTGTGTGTGTGTGGGGGGAGGGGGGATGACATGGCCCTTAATCACTGAGGCCCTTTTATAAATTCAAACAGCCTTCCAACAAGAGATGCAAATATGCAATGCCTAGAGCGTAGACGCGTAGTGCTCAGATCTTTATCCAACCAACAAAAATTTACACAAAACTTGTAAATGACAATCGAGGAGAAGTAACTCAAAAATGATTTGGATGAACATTTCTTTTTTCCAAGAAAATATACTAGGTTTCATTATTTATTTGTTAATTTAAAATACAACTTTAACATATAACTAAAACAAACAAAAAACTTGTGTTCTACCCCAAGGAACGCAACACATAATTTTATTAGGTCGGCAAACATTAATTGTGTATGCATTTATCTGCCACGTCCAATGGTGCAATCCATATGGTTGGAATGGTGTCTACATACGCGATCTTGAAGCGGAAGAAGAGGTTGGTACACCAGAAGCACTCTGCATTTCAAGCAAGATATTCTGGCTTAGTTATAAAATAAAATAAAAACTCCGCAGACAGTAGAAGGTTTTGTTTGGAACTCGGAAAATACAAGACAGGTTATATTCATTAATGTATTTTGGATACTTGTTCAGAATCATTTTCTTTTTCTATTTTATAAAGACAGAAATCTAAGTATATGTAATAGCATCCACAGAAAAACACAAGAAAAACAACTCTGTTCAACATTTCTTCCCCTTGGCATTTTCCCAAACATACAGTATCAGATGAGCAATTAAATATACTTACCAATGGAATGCCTTTGAGTGCTCTTTCTTCCAAGAAAGTTGAGGGTTTGAAGAAGCCACCATATAACTCTGACCACTTCTTGAGGCTTTTATATATATGGCCAGCTCCAACAGTATCAGCCCAGAAAACAATCCCTCCTCTACAAAAGAAAACGATTGAAAAACGAAATGTGTCGGTTACATCTGCCCACCAGAATGTTTAACTATTCTGTATGCATAGGAAGAGGGGATTGTATTAACCTGTAAGAGGGGAAGCTCATTCCAAGAACAGATGCAACATCAAGATCAGAAGCCCGAACAACCATACCTTCGTCAAGAACACGGCATGCCTCGTTCACAACAGGAAATAGAACCATCTCAACTATTTCTTGGTCGGTCACAGATATCGGCTGAAAGTAAATTTCTGAGATTATTAGTGAAATGACTCATTATAACCCCCACATGACTCATTACATTTCTGAGTATGTATCATTTAGTAGCTCTTTTGAGGGAATAAACAAAGCAAGATTCCATGCTCAGCATATTATTACTGATACATAAAATAAAAATAAAATACTCACTCAACCATTTTAAAGAGCTTATAGATTTTTTTCCCTTCAGGATTTTGAAATATAATTACTAGATATAGAGTAAGCTTTGTTTTGAATTCATTACAGTCGGGTGCGCCAATGAGTTTTCTTCGGACAACTTTAGATGAGGTCTAATAAATTCCATATTTCGAGTGAATCTAAACAAGAGTAAAATGATGTGGCTTATCATCATTTATATCCATACTCCTAAACTAGTGTCGTCCAATAGATTGCAACAGATGGAGAAGTGGTACCTTCCCTCCAGGCATTATATTAATTAGCTTTCTAGACTCCTCTATAACTGGAAGCACAGATGGATCCGGTTTTGGTTTCATACCCTTCTGATAAATGTAGTATCCTTTTCCGTTACTTTTACCTACAAATAAAAGTATCAAAGTTGACATAGTAATTGTATGTAAGAGTCCACAGAAGAAACAAGTAGATAGGTTACCGTTTCGACCACTTTTAATGAGGAGGTCAACCAAAGGACTCTTAAATATACGGTCAGAAAAAGCAGCACCAAATTGTTTTCCTACAGCAACAGCTACCCCGTACCCTGTTAAATCCTGTAGCCTGAAAAACAGAAAATTCATTGCAGTTTGTTCAACCAAGCAAAACATTGATCATCATTCAAATAAAACACTGTTCACTCAAGCTTCTAATAATTAATTACTCCCTAGACACCACAAAAGGAGTGTGTTTCAAAACTTATTTTCATAAGAGCCTTATTTTACAAACAAAAAAAAAACGACTCCTTGGGTTAAATGTAAATATTCTACAAAAGAGTTCCAAACAAGTTAAGTCTGGTAAATTTTGCTTAACAATCAATATATCATCAATCATCATTTACCCCAGTGCCGCAAAGGCTCCCACCTATGGTGGGGTAAGGGGGGGTCGGATGTACGCAATTTTACCCCTATACTAAAGCACAGAGATTGTTTCCGGATGACCCATAATGAAAATCGCATCCAACATTGCATGCTGACTGCTGCTTCATAACAAAGAAGAACAGACAGTTTGGTGAGCCATTTTGCTTTATTCCATCATATTCTCAATCCAAAAAATAATGAATCTTTGGCTCCATTGCAAATGATGGAAATAAATTTTGCTTAACAAAATGATTAAAAATATATTAGAGAACTTGATTTATAGTAAGTTGTACCTTACCAAAATTAAAAAATGTACCTTGATGAAACATCAACTCTTTTTTGGAATGAAAGTAGTAATAAACATTTTCCCATTTCTTATACAAAATTTATTTAACATACACACAAATAAAGATGTATTCCATCATTTGCAATTGAGCCAAAGACTCACTATTTTTGCCTTTTTGGACTTGAGAATATGATAGAATAAAGCAAAATGGCCCACTAAACTGTCTGTGCTTCTTTGTTATGAAGCAGCGGTCAGTCCGTGCGAGTTTCAACGTGATTTTCACTATGCGTCATCCGGAAACAGTCTCTCTATTGCGTACATCCGACCCCCTTACCCCACCGTAGGTGGGAGCCTTTGCGGCACTTGGGTAATGATGATGATGACAACGACTCACAAATAAAGATGTCCACAAGCCAAATCCCTCTCCTTGTAAACATAATTTGAGAGATGTGGATATGAAGGATAGAGAATTACTGGAATGGACCCATAGGAAGGCCAAAATCTGAAATCTGGGCATCAATCCTGAAAGCATCAACTCCCAGATGAACAAGAAAATGTGCTCCCTGAACATATGGAAAGAAGGTCCTGTTTACAGCAAAGCCAGTACAGTTTCCCACCACAACAGGGACCTTCTTTATTGCTTTACCAACAGCCATAAGGTCAATGATTGTTTGAGGTGATGTCTTTTCTGTCCGCACAATCTCCAGCAGTGGCATAACATGAGCAGGGCTGAGCATAAATGAATAAAAAATAAGAGACAGATAGATAAAGCATCAATAAAGAATAATTCCTCCAAACAAAACAAAACTGTTAAAAAATATTAAAATACTGTGTAATACTGACCACAGCCACAATGAAAAGCTAATACAAAGTATTTTTTCTCCCGCTTATTTTAAACCTCTAGTTATCATAAATAATGAACAAGAAGGGGACAGATATTAACCTGAAGAAATGAGCTCCTATAACCCTATCTTGAGATTTTGTCTTCTCCCCAACTATGTTAAGGTCT